TACACTGGGAAATCTTGACATTAGGCCAGGTCACATGAGTATCTCAAGGTTAGTGACAGGAGACGTGCTAGACATGAGATCAGACCACTTAACCAAGAGGTACTCTTTTAATACTCCCTTTGAGGTTTTAATACAGGAAAGAGCGGAGATCACCATAAGGGAGCCCAATGCTCTACGACAGGAACAAACCTGGTATACAGACGGGTCTAAGACTGCGTAAGGCACTGGGGCAGGAGTATTCTCCAAAAACCCTGATACTAACCATAGCTTTGCTATAGGAATACATTCCTCGGTATTTCAGGCCGAGGTATACGCAATTTTGCAATGTGCAAAAACGAACAATAAAAGAGCTGTCGAAAATCAGCATATTCAAATAATGTCAGACAGCCAAGGCCATATCGAGTCAGAAAGTTACGTCGAGGCTGGTATGGGAATGCATCGAAGAACTAAGAACACTGGCAGACCGAAATAGAGTAAAACTATTTTGGGTGCCAGGTCACAAAGGGATCGAAGGCAACGAAAAGGCTGACGAACTTGCAAAAAAAGGGTCAGAAGAAACACCGGAACCAGACACAAACCCAGGAGTACCAAAAAGTACAGTCCGGGGTTTTATAAATGACTGGATTCGGGAACAACATATCAACTATTGGGGAAGCACCCCAAAACAGGCACATGGAAAAGCCTTCATAGGCAGACCATGTCCCAAAAGAACTGGAGAACTACTCTTAATGAATAGGAACCAGTTGAAAGTGATAACAGGGTTCATGACTGGGCACGCCCCAGTAAAGGGACACTTGAACAAAATTGGCATGTACAATGGGGAACTCATGTGCCGACTATGTCACAAGAAACCAGAAACGGCCAAACACATACTGTGCGAATTCGAAGCTCTAGATCGCAAAAGACAGGCTCTTTTTGGACAACCCCAGGTTGATCCAACAACGTATAGAACCCACTCACCCAAGGATCTGTACAAACTTGTACAAGGTACAAAGGTGATAGAGGGGGTGCTATGAACTAACATGGGGTAAAACACAATAAGCCAATAGGCTTCAGTGTTATTCGGAGACACATAGTCAGACGAGCCCAGGAGAAAAAAAAAAGATTCGTATGACGAAACTGGTGTTCCAGGTCAGATCACCGTGGAAGCTATGGTACAGCGAAAAGCTGAGGAAGTGATGGTATATGGAAACTCAGAAGAAGAGACTCAGATGGTAATGTTGGCAAAGGAAGACGAAAACAACGGTGAACCCGATCCTTCTGATTAAAAGGAGAGTATGGGGATGGAACAAACCTTTCCTTTTGGATATACGGAACCAGTAACTGAGAACAAGCCAGAAAAAGTGAAGTTAAAGAAAGATATGGCACTGAAACCCTGGCAAGATGCGGTCATAAACCTACATCCGAGAAAGCAGGGAAAATGTGTGATTAAGGAGCAATATTTTATTGAACGAGGTCTCGTTTGTCGTCAAGTAACGGAAGAAAAAGAAAAGTTGCAGTTAATGGTCACAAATTTCAACAATGTGGATAAGAAATTGTACAAGGGTACTACAATGGGTTGGTACAAAAACTCCGAAGATATGGAAGAAGTTTTAATACTTTATACGGAAACCGATGAAGAAGATATGACATTAGCTGACCAAAACATAGATCACATATCCGATGAAAAAATGAAAAGAGAAAGTTGGAAGAGTTACTAACGGAGTACAATGATGTTTCTTCAAAATCAACCAGGCGCATGGGCCGCACAAACTTGGCAACCCACACGATTGACGTAGGTGAGGCGAGCCCTATAAAGAGCCGTCCATACAGGGTGTCTCAAAAGGAGAGACAAATAATAAATGAGCAGATAAATGAGATGCTGGAGTATGGTGTTATAAGACCATGCCACTCTCCGTGGGCAAGTCCAGTAGTACTTTGTCGAAAGAAAGACAGTACCTATAGATTTTGTGTGGACTACGTTGCCAAATATGGATGACATTTTAACATATATGAAAGGCACATTATACTTCTCTACCCTGGATATGTTCAGCAGTTACTGGCAAGTCCCCATAGAAGAACAATCTAAGCCATACACAGCATTCGTCGCCCAGGGGCATGGGACTTACGAGTTCAATGTCTTAAGTTTTGGCCTCTGCAACGCACCGGCAACTTTTTTAATTTACCTAGATGACATCATTATATTCTCGAAGACACGAGAGGAACACTTGAGGAAACTGAGAAAAGTATTTCAAAGGTTGAGGGAGGCAGGCCTAACGCTCAAACCAAGCAAATGTTTATACATGGAGCCTCAAGTCAAAATACTGGGTCATCAAGTGAGCGCTTCTGGAATAGCTCCACATGAAGCTTTACTGCAAGCCATTCGGGACTTTCCAACCCCTAGGAGCACAAACATGTGCAAAGCTTCCTAGGAATGTGTAACTTTTATAGAAAATTTATAAAATACTTCTCCAAAATAGCACATCCACTCCATCAGGCCACCCACAAGGATGGATTCTTATGTACAACAGAACAACAGCAGGCTTTCGAGTGTCTTAAGGAAAAACAGACTACCGCTCCAGTTCTATCACACTTTAATCCAGTTAAAGGGTGTGAGCTGCATGTGGACGCCAGTAAAATAGGGAGGAGGCATTTTGTTACAAGAGGGCGAGGATGGTATTCCCCATCGCTTTTATTAGCAGGAGCCTGACAAAAAGCGAAAAGAACTATACCATAACAGAGCTTGAGGGCCTGGCTGCCATATGGGCACTAGCTTACCTGAGACACATGGTATATGGAAAACCGGTGAAGATCGTAACGGATCATCATGCTCTCTGTTGGTTAAAGGCCAGTAAAGACCCCACTGGGCGCCTTGCCCGGAGGGCCCTCAAGTTATCGGAATACGAGTACGAAATTATGCACAAAAGTGGAAAGAAGCACAGCGATGCTGACTGCCTGTCCAGAAATCTATGACTAATACCCTGGGACCAGATATAAGTGAGCTGGAAGAAGTTCCAACATTCCTAGCCCTTCCAGAGGATCTAGTAACGGAGCAAAGAAAGGATGCGGACCTGACACTAATATTTAAAGCTCTGGAAGGCCCCTCAAGTGTCACTATGGAAGTAGCTAGAAGAGCCAAGAATTTTAGATTGATAAATGGTGTGCTACATAAGGCAAACAACAACACAGCAGGAGTAGATAACCTCTTGGCAATCCCCCGACACCTGGTAGCAGAAGTCCTGTTCTCAATGCACAAGGAGCCCTTATCCGGCCACCTAGGCATAACAAAAACATTACACAGGGTTGCGAGCAGGTTTTACTGGAAAAACCTGCAGAAGGACGTCGAGAAGTACGTCAAGGGTTGCAGCGATTACCAAGCGAGAAAAGGGCAAGAAACAAGGAGGCCAGTGGGCTTTAGAGGTAGGGCAACCATTCGAGCGGGTAGGGATCGACCTACTCGGACCATTTAGGAAAAGCAGAAATGGAAAAACGTTCATCATCGTTGCCACAGACTACGCCACAAGGTGGGCAGAAACAGAAGCCTTAAGTAGTGAAAAGGCTGGACCTGTGGCTAAGTTTATATTAGAGAACGTCATAGCTCGGCATGGGTCGCCTAGATATATGCTTAGCGATCGAGGACGAACCTTTATGTCGGAAATGGTCACAGAATTGACAAAGGTTATGGGTACAGTAAGTCAGTTTACGACAAGTTACCACCCTAGTACCAATGGACTGACAGAAAGGTTTAACAAAACCCTCGCTAATATGCTATCGATGTATGTGAACACCCAGCAGACCGACTGGGATGAATATCTTCCCCTGGTGACATCCGCTTACAACACCACTATACAGGATACAACAAGATTCTCTCCGTTTATGCTACTTTATGCCAGAGAACCTATCCTGCCTACAGAAGCAGCCCTAATGCAGGAGATAAAAAGCTTGGAGATCAAACAAATTAGGGAAAAAGCCCTATGGGCTCGAAGCCTAGCGGTGGAGAACATAGAGAACAGACAATCTAAGTCTAAAGACCGTTATGACTCCACACATCGAGTGCTTGATTTTAAGCCAGGAGACAAAGTAAAGGTCTTCACACCTATACGGAAGGTAGGCAGATCAGAGAAGCTATTATTAAGGTGGTTCGGTCCCTACTTTATAACTAAAAAGAAAGGGGAAGTAACTTACGAAATCCGTAAGGGGCCGTCCCCGAATTGTAAACGGGAGGTGGTCCACGTTACCCGGATTCTGCCGTATCACGATCCTTGGACACCAAAAGTAACTCCACAGGACGTCGAGGATCTGTAAATAAGAAAAAGAGCTAAGAAAAAAAAATAATATTTTTTTGTTTTAACGAGTAGGTACCGCTCGTTCGCATTTTCTCTTTTATTTAGAAAACCATACCTAGTGCTATTGAGAAGAGTTGACAGTGGGTTTAGTGCTAAACAAAACCACAATGGACTAAGGCTATCTCCTTGGAAAATTCCTCTTTTGATTGGGATAAGTTGAGACTGTATAGTACCCTCGCTGAAACCTCAATACAATTGTTCTCCATTGTTTGTCACCTTTCTCACTGTAAATTTGGTATTATTACAAGGACATACTTAAGTTTTTAGACATTTGTAACTTAGGAAAGAGCTCTCGATACAATACTTAATGCCATAGGAAATATACTGTACTGGAAACTGTAATACAGGAACACCGTCGGTACTTGGAACTGCAAAACCTCGAAGTTTATTAAGTGTAATTTTTAATAATAACAACTTAAATTAATAATGAGATACAGTAACAGTAATGGTATATAAATAAAAAAATGAAGTGTTAATTTTCCACTAATTTTGAGACACTCTGTATGGGCTATGCAAATAAATGATGATTTTTTAGTAAATTAATCAAATACCTAATTATCCGTCACACAGAGTTAGGTACGAAAATTAATAATTTACTCTCGAAAAAATTTTTATCTTAAATTATATCTTACGATATATAAACAGAAAAATTGTAAATTTTTTTAGTAGTTCAAAATGGAAATTAATAAGATAAAGGTTGTATTAGAAGTGTTTTTAAAAGATCTTAATAAGCCAATTTGTCAACATAAAAAAATTTTTAAAAATTTAAGTGATTTAAACAAGCATGTCAATGGAAATGGAATAGACGTAGAAAAGTTAAAAAACGGTGTTAAGAAATTAATAAGCGATTTTGAAGACGAGAATATTGAAAAAGATTGTACTAATAATTTAATATTTGAGTATTTATTAGTAGTATTTTCTAATACAACACATTCTCAGAGGTTTCGTGAGCTACACAATATTTTAGAGCATTTTTATGACAAATTAGTTCAAAAATGGTTAGAACTTGGACAAACAGAATCAATAATCACTAATGAAAAATTTAAGGAAGTTGTGAGGAAATTAATACCTTATGTTAAACTGTCAGTGGTCAGTGATCAACTTACATCATCATTTAATATTGAACAAGCTCTGCAGGAGTTATACGAGATTATACTATATCCAAACATATCCAGAGAAGATTGTTATGAAGTCATAAGGAATAAATTTGGAACAACCAACGTCGATTTTGTAGATTTTCAAATTAAACCAGTGAACGAAAGATATGGCTTTATGGGAGACTACTTCAGACTTAAAATAAACATAATAGAAAATGGAGAAGAAAATACATTACATTTATTTTTAAAATATTTACCATTTTTCACAGATCAGGCAAGAGCAATTTTAACAGGAATTTCTTTTAAAAAAGAAAAAATATTTTACTCCGAATTCATTCCCCTATTAAGAAAGTTGGGATTAAATGAAGTGCTTGATTTTGCCCCAAATTGTTATTATTCCAATGACATATTTATGATATATGATGATATTTCTTTTGAAAATTACAGTAATTTGGATATCCATACAACGTTAAGTTACGAACAGTTATCATCTATATTTAAACAGTTAGCTAAATTAAACTCAACTGGTATTTTATTCGAAGAAAAACTATCGGAAATATGTGGAAAACCTGTTTATTTAAACGATTATTACAATAATATGATGGTTGATCACTTTTTCACCAAAGGCGGATTTGGTGAGTTTTTTTTTTGTTCTTTACGAGCATTTTATCACATTTTTAATAAGATTCCCGAATTTTTTGAAAATAAAAATATTGATAAATTTAAACAACAAATTTCTGCTATCATTGAAGATTGCGACGAAAAAGTTAAACCGTCAAAAGTGAGCCGTAATTTCTTGTGTCACGGTGATTCTTGGATAAATAATGTATTATTTAAGAAAAATCATTTAGACTGTTTCTTATTGGACTATCAGGTTTTGAGGTATTCGTCTCCTGCTTTAGACGTTCAATTTGTTTTATATCTCCATACAGATAAGCAAACACGTGATAATTCCGGTACTAAACTTTTAAATGAATATTACACAAATCTAAAACAAAATTTAGAAAAATATGGAGTTGATATCGAGCATATTTATTCATATGAAACTTACCAAAAAGCTTTAGAAGAAGTTAAACCAATGGCAATGGTAACAGCACTCTCTTACATGCAGTTAACTTTGTTGCCAAAAGAATCTAAACATGTACTTGAGGATCCAGTATTGGCCCGAAGGTTCCTGTCAGAAGATCGAACAGATATCATCGATAAATATTGGGATGTTATGGAAGTAACCAAGATAAAAGATGTTTTTGAAGAATTGTATATTTCTTTAAATAAAAATTAGTTTAAATATTTCGTATCTGTAGAATAAATAATTAGATAGATATATAGATAAATAATTGTTATTAATAGATATATTGTTATTCAGGATTTTTATTCAAGATTATTTTTAAAATAAACAGAGTCTTGTCCTGTTGAGATAAATTACATCTGTTTAGTCTGAGTTATTTTTATTTACCTATAACCAACTTTTAAAATTATCGCCGATGGCTCAAAATATTTCGTTATTGTTTTGCTCAACCCCGATATTTTTATAATACAAGAATTTTCAGAAACCCAGTGAATCGGCATCACTGAATTATTAAATAAATATCTCAAAATAACTTTTAAAAAGGTATATGAAATGTAAAATGTATTACAATTAAACTAGGGCATAAAGAGACAATGTCCTACCTTAAAACACTAATGCCCTACCTTAAAAGTAGCCGGTATTGCCACATCCCCAACTAGCCATTCATAAAAGTGTATTTGTTGTGAAGTTCTCATCATCATCTATTGTATAGAACAGGAGACAGTGACGATTTTCGGTATTTATTTTCCCAGTCAGCAAGCACGAATAGAGAATTGTAGGATTAGCAATTCTAAGCAAAATTCATATATATTTAGAGGGGGGATCCGATGGGCTGAGGCCGAAAATGCTTCAAAACATACAAGAACACGGCCCTTTTTTTCCATTGATAAAAATAGTTTTAGTAGTAAGAGATGTACTGAAGTTAAGTAAAAAAATAGTCTGATTAATCTGTATGGATAATATATTTGGCAAGTGCATAAAATACACTTTCAAACGAGTCACGTATACAATTATTTCTACGACCACAATTATTTAAAGAATGTTCCAGGTGTTTTGTATATTAAAGTGTACGCATAGGACACATAAATAAAATCATATATCACAATGTTTCACCCAGCAGTTGGTTTATTTATAAAAATAAAACATAATAATTATAGAAATTACAAAATAAAATAGGGAGATGAATTACATTTCCTTTCACACTTTTATAGAATAAATATTTTATTTAGAATTCACGAAACACTTATTACTGTTTAGTTTTAGAATTTCTTTACAGTTTTGACAAAAATCTTATATCACAATGTTTCACCTAACCAGTTGGTTTATTTATAGAAATTAAACATAATAATTGAAGATATTACAGAAGAAAATAGGGAAATAAATTACATTTCCTTTTACACTTTTATATAATATTTGTTTTATTTAGAATTCACGAATCACTTATTACTCTACATTAATTATAATTATTGTTAGTTTCGTTATGTCAAATCATTTATACTAGAGGTGTGAGAAAAATACAGTGAACTGTGGAACGCCAATATCGTTGGATGCGCGTGGTAGAAATGGTCCTATAATACTGCTAAAAACATAGCTAAATTTTCATGGAAACAGTGTACTTTTGACATTTGCGATACTCCGACGCATATGCATTATTGATGTAATCTCATGATTTTACAGTAATAGTTTTTGCAATTTTAATGTGATTTTTAGGTTATTATGGTTATTCATTTTATTTGGTTCTGATCTTTTGCGCTTTAAAAGTATTTGTCTTTTATATGGTTTTTAATTTGAATTTTATTATTGTGGTCTATTTATATTTGATTGCTGCTTTTCGACTAGTGCTTTATTCTTTTTGTGTTAAAATAAGCTTTATAACCATTAAGTATATGCTTCTAGTTGATATCTACCTAATCGTCATCTGGTGCTTGCAACAATGGGAAAAAGTGTATGGTTTTTTTTGGTGTAAAGTTAGACGCCTTCATTTTTCAGGTAAGTTATTTGTAGTTATTTTTTACTTAAAAGGATAGCAATACGTCCTGCTTCGGGGTGTGACTTTTGGGTTTTAGCTATCTAAGCCAAATTGTCGGCTAAGTGTCCTCTTTTAGGGCACCCAGAACCGAAAACTATATAGGTATATAATATGTTTTTTTTTAAATTATTTTTTAATATGTATGCAGCTTGGATGAGGGCTTTAGGAAGAGATCCTAAGACTGAATACTGACTGCTATAAATGCCGTTTTTAGAGCATATTTCATAGTAAGTGATTTCATTCTAGCAGCAATGAGGAAACGTTTAAAAAACATGCTGTACCAGACCTCGTCTCTTTAAGTTATTATTACTTCATTCTAATGCATATATTAAAATGGTTTTTAACTTATGTCCTTATGATTAAAAGATGTAGGTATTTTAGTTATGTTATAATAGAAATATATGATACTTTGTATTGACTGACCTACTGGCCACTGGTCATTCCACTTTTACTCCCTTTTTTAATAAATTATCAAATTATTTAAGAACAAATACATACCTAGCTGTAAATTACATTAAAATTTTAGTATTAATACTTTACTAATAAAACTTCAGTTAATTTATCTTATATATATACACAACGGAAGAGTTAATTGGATTTTCTCCTTGTTGAGTTTCAAAAATAGTAATTTAACATGATTTAAAAACAAATACATGAAATGGGAAAAATAGGCCTGCAAAGGCACTTTGTAAACAATCTCACTTGTATCGATGTGACGTAATGCGCGAATTCAATCTGGCTTACTTTTGTTAATAGATTGGCGTTCCATTTTAATTATACAGTTCACCGGGAATAGATTATTTAAATATACACGGACCGTGAAAACAAGTACGAAAAAATTAACTGGCTCCTGGACTAGTACTGTATCGAAGGAATTTTTATGAATGAAACAATATACGACCCTCCACAATTGCGGTCTACTCTACTTCCGCTGTTGTCAGACATTATTTTTTTTTTGGACAATTTAAAGACGTAACAGTAATTCAAGCAAACGCAATAACATTACTACAGTTAAAAACATCGCAAACTTGGCATCAATATTTTAATTTTATCCAAATATTGCATTTCTGTCGAGGATCATCCGCGTTGACTTCAGAAATTGTGTAATCTGTATTGGTTATATATATCTATAGCTAAAAGCACGTAAACTTGGCATCAATGTTCAATCCGATTATTGAGTTTCTACCGCGGACACCACCGTTCATTCTTCAAAAATTTTGTAAATAACCGATCTGTCTTGGTTATATATCTATGGGTATTGCACATAGATATATAACCAAGACAGATAGGATTATTTACAAAATTTTTGAATCATCAACGTTCCCGTCCGCGGAAGAAACACAATAATCTGATTAAACACTGATGCCAAGTTTACGATGCTTTTAACCATAGATATATAACCAAGACAGATATGATTATTTACAAAATTTCTGAAGTCAACGTGGGTGATCCACGGTAGAAATGCAATATTTGGATAAAACATTGACGCCAAGTTTGAGATGTTTTTAACTGTAGTAATATAATTATGTTTGCTTGCAATACTGTTAAGCCTTTAAATTATCAAAAACAAATTACGTCTGACAACAGCGTAACGAGCCTTCACCGTTATTGTAGTATTTATCAGTAGGGTCGTAATTTGTTTCTTTATAAAATTCCTTCGATACAGTACTAGTCCAGGAGCCAGTGAATTTGTTTCGTACTTATTGTCCCGGTCGGTGTATTTTAAAATAATCTTTTCCTAGTGAACTGTATATTTAAAATGGAATGCCAGTTTCTATTAAAAAAGTAAAGCAAATAGAATTCGCGCATTACGTTACATCGATACAAGTAAGATTGCGCACAAAATGCCTTTGCAGGCCTATTTTGCCCATTTTATATGATAAAATAATACTTTTTAAACTCAACAAGAAGAAAATCCAATATACTTTTTGGTTATATTTTCCTAAAGGTATGTCCTTACCATAAGTAATAAATTTCCCATTTTTTACCATATACGGGAATATCAAAAAATAGAAATTGAGGTATATATATATATATATATATATATATATATATATATATATATATATATATATATAAAATTAAAAATAACAACATACATAAAATTAATAATCTTAAAATCCAAGAATCACAAATCAAACTTAATACTAAAACTAATTGGATAAAAAATCTCTCTGAAAAAATAATTCCTGATGACATTCTAAAATTCTTATCACTAGGCCCAAAATTTAGTATTGAACCTGTGGTTGGTAGTGACATCCCCATAAAAAGCATTCTAGCTGATATAGATTATATTTCTTCATATATCAATGATAAACACTTAAAAAATATCATGATAGCTCGAACAACTAACGTTATTACTAATCATATACATAATAATACCTCTAATAACTTTTTTTATCATAATCTATACAATAAAACTAAAAAGTTTCTAAAAGATAATCCTGATATTGTCCTAACTAGATCAGACAAAGGTAATATAACCGTAATTCTTAATAAACAACAATATTTAAATCTTTCTAATGAATTAATTCTAAATAATAACTCTTATGTACAAATTAATAATGATCCAACAGCATCAATTCAGCTAAAATGCAACAAATTAGTTAAGAATTTAGCTGAAACGAACCAAATAGATACTAATTTAAAAAAGAAACTAACTAACTATAAAGGAATATCACCAAAATTCTATGCTTTACCTAAGGTACATAAACCTACTTTATCAGTTAGACCTATAGTAGCATCAATAGGTGCCCCTACTGCTCTTCTTGCTTCGTTTCTTACTGATATCTTAACAAAAGCCTATGACTATGATAATGTTTATTTTATAAAAGACTCCTTTGAAGTCTCACAAACTTTTAATTGTATGACACTACCTAATGATCATGTTATTGCTAGCTTGGATGTAGTATCTCTTTTCAGTAATGTTTACTTAGATGCAGTACACAGATCTATCTATAAAAATTGGGATCGCATAAGCAATCATTGTAATATTAATCAATCAACTTTCATAGATCTCATTTCCTTCTTATTTAATAATACATATTTTTCATTCGATAACAAATACTATAAACAAACTTTTGGTACCCCTATGGGTGCATCTTTCTCACCTATCCTAGCTGCTTATGTGATGGATGACTTACTGGACACAGTTATTCCAGTTTTATCTTTTAATATACCTTTT